AAAAAGAACCTTCCATACAATACTGCATTAACCTAATTAATACAGTACTATTGATTTTCCCATGTAAATCAACTGTAATCGTTTCGTTCCCAAAACGATCAATCAGTTTTTATACTTTTGTTTTTTTGGGTTCAAAATAGTTTGCAAATCGACTTTGTTGTCTATTTAATTAGCTAAACGGAAAATAAAATCGATGAAGAAAGAAAATTTATTGTTTTAGATCATTTTTACGATTTTCTTTATGCTATGGTATTATATGTTTGGTAATATTAGATTTGTTTACGGTTATCAATGTAATTAAGGTAACATAATTGTTATGTTTTTGTTGAACGTGCGTCGACTTTTTTGTCAACTTAACAAAGGCAACGAGAAAGTCGGCGAAAGAAAACTCCATTGTTTTATTATATCATTTTAGAAAAATTTTGATGGTTTTATTGGGTTGTTACTTAAAGCCACAAGAGGTTGTTTTATTGAAATTTGTTTGCCTCGATTTTTTAGTCTTGTAGTTAGAAAAGTCTATGAGAAAATTAGTGAAGGAGAAAATTCATTATTTAAATTATTTTCCAAATCTTTTGATGTATTACGGATTGGTTATTAACTTTTTTCATTTTTATCAAGTAAAAGTTACATAATATTTAGGAGTAATACACAAGAACCCCCTCGTGGTATTCAAAAGTACACAAGAATCCCCCTACGGTTTCAAAAGCACACAAAAACTCCCTCATACTTTTCCCAAATGTATAAAGCGAATGGAAAATATTAACAGTAACGGATATTGTGAAGCACACGCGCGTGGATGCAAGTGGGACTTTCATTTTTTGTCAGCAATCTTTTTTAGGCCATATATATCCTTTTTGTTATATTTAAATTATTTTATCATAGAGAAAAAATCTTCTTTTTCTCAGAATCTTTATTTCCGTTCGTTCTGCTTCCAAAACTAGTTTTTACCATTTTTCAGTTTTTAGTTCTTCCTCAAATAATTTTTCCACAGCCTCCAGTAGTTCATCGCCATGATTCCGATGCCAGCCGTCGCCTCCGCCTTGTCGCCAAAATTCCTAAACTAGCCACCGCAACCAGGAACTCCTTACTGGCCCAAATCATTGATTTGAAGTCAAAACTATTCATGAGAATGAGTGAGTGTTGGTGACACTAACAATGAATTTTTATGGGTTTTGGGAGAAAAAGAAGGGAGAAAATGGGTGGAAAAAGAAGATGAGAAGATGGGGGATTAGGGAGCGAGTTCGAAATCAGAAAAACAGGGAGGAGAAAATGAGGTTAATGGTTCTCTTATCACATATTTAAGAGGGGGGAGGGGGAGCAAAACGGTCAAGTAACATTAGATCGTTACTGTTAGTATTTTCCATCCGCGTTACATATTTGGGAAAAGCATGAGGGTGTTCTTGTGTCCTTTTGAAACCATAGGGGGGGTTTTTGTGTGCTTTTGAATACCACAAGGGGATTCTTGTTTATTACCCCTAATATTTAATTACTTTCTTTGAAATTGTCAGAGTCAATTTTTTCATCGACGAGAAAGCTGACCAAGGATAAACTCTATTGTTTTATAATCATTTTAACACTTTTTTTATGGTATTATTCTTTGCTAATTAATTAATTTATTCTTTTCAATGAAAAATTCAGATATATATATATATATATCTTACTATATTAGAAACAAAAACCACACTTAAGAGAAAGCAACACCATTTGCCATGTGGCATTTTCACATCATATTTTTAAAATAAATTTTTATTTTCACATCTCCTACACTTAAAAGGTAAATGCAGTCCAAATCCACCTCCACCTCCTATTTTCGGCAAAAAAAAAAATCATGGGTTCATAAAAAACCCAAATCCTCATCCCCATCTCTACCACAATGGACTCCCTAATCAATCCCTTCTCCACAATAAAAATAAATAAATAAATAAATTCCTCATCAATCATCAGTTGAGAATATGTGGTGAAATATACTCCATTCCAATTAGCATGTTCAATATTTTCATTAGCGATAATCAACTACATCCTAATCGAATAAAATTTCGACTTCAAAAAATATTCTTTTTACCTCTCTATATAAACACAAAGGAAAAAAAAAAATTCTCATTGATCTTGCTTCGGCCGTTTTGGTGGTGCAATTACAGGTATTAAAATTTAAATGATTTTATTTTTACAGATCATTTGTTTTGCTTTTATTATTTATTATTTTTTCCATTCAAGATAGTGTTATTACTATTATTTTTATGCGTCCATCCATTACAGCTACCGTAGCCATTGTCAGGTAATATGATGTAATTTCTTATATAGTTAGTTAGCCTAGCATTTATGTATGATTTTAGTTCTATTTGGATTGAATTCATTAATTGGGTTTTTGTTAAAAAATGTGGTTTTTAAATTTTTTTTTTATATTTCATTCAATTAGAGTGGTTTTCTTTTTTTAATTATGGAGTCCCAATTTTTTTTTTGTATATGGTCAGTTATGAAGTGTGTTTTCTTTGTTTAATTGCTTTTGATTTTGTTTCATACTCCCAGTTGACCAATTATTATTATTATTATTATTATTATTATTATAATATTTGCAAATGAAGCTTGTTTTTTTTTTTTGTGTTCGGACTTTCAAGAATATACTTTTTTGGATTTGATTTTTGGACTTTTTTTAGTTCCTCGTCATATAAATAGTTCAGGTCGCTTCTTCTAATTAATTTATGGGGAAACCTTTTATGAATTTGAGGCGGAGAGGGAAGGAATGATGTTTCTACGTTTATTTGTGTTTTTATACAAATAAATTTCTCAATTTTTAATGGGTTATCTTTTAATTTGTTTTTTTTTCTTTATTTGCCATGGTGAGGTGAGTTCTTTTTTGCTATAACTTGAAACACATGCAAATTTACATTATTTTCATTCTCATATTTGTGATTAACCAGTTTCAAAATAATATTTTTGATATTTTATTACCTATAAACTTTTGGAAGAAATAGTTCCAACAATTAAACGTATACCCTTGGGAGGAAGCTTACTACAAAACTATTATAAATCTCCAAAACTAAGTATTGATTTGGCACAACCAATGGAGAACATCAATAAATTATCTTACTAATATTTAAACTTATTGGCATGCTTTCATATTTTGTCTAGCATTTACTTTAAGAGATATATTTGATCAAGTTTATTTATATTTAAGAAGTAACACTTATAAAACATTTCTAAAATCTTCAAACAATTCTAAAATGTACCGGACCAAATACAATTTCTTTTTATGCCAAATACAAACATTTCTAAATTCTTCAAAAATTTCTAAAATATATCGGGCCAAATACAAAATATTTTTTTTCCAGATACAAATATTTCTAAGATCTACAGATATATTGGGCCAGGGTCGCGCATTGCGCGACCAGATATCACTAGTATATATATATATGAAATTGTTGGCGTGAACACTTAATTTCATCTACTTAAGCAAGCCTTTTAATTAGCAAAACTGACGTGAAGTTGTCGACGGAGAAAACCTATTGTTTTAAATCATTTGCAAAAAATTTTGATGGCATTATGGGTTAATTACTAATTATTATTCATTTTCATCAATTTAAAAGTTACAATCCGTTTTATTTTTGTGGTTCGTCGTGTCGACTCTTTCGTCACCTTCTTAAGGACGACGAAGATGTTGACGAAGGCCAAAATTCAATTTTTTAAAATCATTTCCATCATTTGTTTATTTTTTATTGTGGTGATAAATTTATTTATCTTTATTGATGTAAAAGTCACAAAATTTTTTTTATCGTAATGAAATAGTTTGTGTCAACCATTTTGTCCACTTAGCAAACCTGAAACAAAATCGATGAAAGTCATAGTCCAATATTTTATATCATTTTCACAACTTTTGATAGTTTTATCATTTAGTGATTAACTCATTTTCACAATTTTTTGTCTACTCAGCAAAACCGTCAACAAAGTCGTCAACAGGAAAATATATTGTTTTAAATCAATTTTAAAACGGTATTCTTGGTTGGTTATCAATTATTAGTCATTTTTATAAATTTAAAAATTATAAACCGTTTCATATTTGTTGAAATTCGTCCTGCCGGCTATTTCCGTCATCTTAGCTAAGACGGCTAGAAAGTCGCGATGGTTAACATAAATATATATATATATATATTAGTATCATTTTCACATTTTTATGTGTATTTTTTGGTAATAATTTTAATTTTTTATCAATGTAATAGTCACGAAATAATTATTTACTTTTTTGGACAAAATCCATTGTTTCGAATCAATTTCACATTTTATTTAGGGTATTATGGTTTGGTTATTATTTATCATTCATTGTTTTTAGTTTAAAAGTTACAAATTCTTTTTGTTGAAACAATCAAAATAAACTACGTAGATTAGAAGAAATGAGTTCAATTATTAGCCATTTTATCGCCCCTACCAGTTCTAGTTGTTTTTTTTTTTTTGGTTGGAAATTACAAATCCTACGTGCATTCATCAGCTTAATTTCCCGTTGAAAGATATTGCTGAAATATCTATGTGCAGTCACATGTCTTTTTCACATGAAAGTAAAGTATCTATGTTTGTGTCTTTATTCTTACCTTTTGTTCTAAACTTCTTCAAGTAAATGCTCACAAATTCAGTGATCAATGGTGTTGCTAATTATAATCTGACTAAAGTCTGTAAATCTATCATTTGTTCTTTGTCATTTTTCGATATTGGCAATTCGTTAGTTGGTCAATCAGAATTAAGATCTTTGTGCTTTTCTTTGTCCTACAGTAGCAAATAAAAAGGCTTGCAGTAAAAAATAATGATTCAATTAACAATGCTCCTTGAAGATAGTGAGCAAGGAAACATACAGTAGCAATAGAGTTCAATCTTCACATGGATATCTCCAACAATGAATTTATGAACTGGTCATCTTCCTCGATGAAGCTGTACCCCGGCAGCCTTCATTATTTCACTAGCTTCCTCACCTTGGCAACACCATCCCATCCCCCTGCTGATTACTGGGTTCTAGCTTAAAAATGCCTTTGCCGCCTTTTCGCCGAGCTCCACATTGCCACGGAAGCTACGAGCCACAGCACTTCTACCCAAATAAGAGAATCAGGCCTCATGGGCATACTCAAACTAAGGTCACGCTTCTTGCAGTTTTCCTGGTCATTTTGCATCCACAATGTTCCAGTTTTGGAGTGATTGGGAAACTCCTCCATGGATTTGAAGATCTCTCTGCACTTGGCGGACCATGCCACCATGCGAGCAGCATGCTATGCTAAAAGTGTTCCTACAAATGTGACATCATCAGCTCTAATGCCTTCTAGGGGCATTCAGTTAAAAAGGTCCAAAGCCTATTTGCATTTACCATGGACAGCCAGTCCCACGAGCATGGTATTCCAAGAACATAAATTTCTGTTCCGACCAATCTCATCAAAGATGTGCATCGCTGCATCTAGTCTACCACACGTCTGAGTACATCTCCAAAATGGCATTGCAAACAAAGATATTCTTCAAGTATCCATTGGCCTCCGCGTAGGCTTCAATCCTCGCCCCAACTCCTAGAGCTTCAAGATTTGCACAAGCTGGAAGAACACGTCACTGCATTGGGCCTCACCCCTGGATCTTTCTCCATCTCGAGGTACATTCCCAATGCATCTCTATACTTGCCATTCTGTGTGTATCCGATATCATTGCTGTCCAAGAGATTACATTTCTTAAACGCATCTCAAAAAACAAGCCCAATGCTCCCTCGTCTCTCCATATTGCGGCTCTTCACGTACCCTGCAATCAAGGCATTCCAAGTGGGCAAGTCTTTGCTTTCCATCCCGTCAAATTGTTTTCGGAAAAGATGAACCAAGCCCAATTCAGCATACATGTCAACCAATGCTGTGGAGGCATAGATATCAAATCCTAAACCGAATTTAACTTTGGATGCGAATGAAAATTGGATTTTCGAAATCCGATATCAACCTAAAATTAGATTTCGAAAATCCGATATTCATGTTTATGGCCACTCCCCCATTCTTGAACTATTTTTGGACACTTCTACTTTCTTGGAAATTATTTAACTCAAGCACCCCTGTATGAAACAAAATTCAACGTAATGCTCAGTAACGGTATCTAAATCGACTGAGTCCCAGAATCATTAGCTGAATCCAGTTGCAATTTCTGCGATTAAGGATACCTATTTTTAAAAAGAAAACGCCTAGTTTTAATTCCAAGAACTCACACTTTTTCTCACAGTATCAATATATTGTAGTACATTCAAAAAAATCCCATCATCACTAGCTCCATCGAGTAGCACTAGCAGAAAATTAAGCAAGAGAGAAACAACTAAAGATGTATTTTTGCATTCTTCACAGTATAAATATGTAGAAAAGAAGAAAAACAGATAAAGGAAACTAAACATTACCGGAAATAATTTAAATCCATCTTGCTTAGCATTAAAAAAGCCTCTGCCGCCACGCCCTCTTCCTCTCCCTCTAAAAAATGCCATTTTTTTGAAAGGATTTAACCTCAAAGCGGCAGAGAGAATTGAGAAATCGATGGAGGTTCCTCTCTGGTTTTTTAGGCAAAAGGGGGGTTTTGCTCAGACTAGAGAGAAAAGGAAGGGAAAAAATGTTGTTACTACCCAAAGCTTTGTCCTCGTCGTCAATCATACCCAATAGATTTTCAGTTAGCTAATTTTACCATAATATTTGAAATTTTTACCAATTTCGTCCAATCGGCCTATTTTCCGTCCAAATTAACGGATCTCCGTTAGTTTTTCAATAAAATAATAAATTTAAATACAAAAACACAACCCTTAAAATATATAAAAATTATAAAATAGTCTCTTTTCACATTCTATTTCATTTTTCTCTATTTTGTTCCATTTCTCTCAACTACTTTTAATGACCATAAAAGTATATTATATGAGTTTTAAAAAAAAAATTTATTTATTTTCAAACTCTACCGTAAAAATTAATCTTTGTATAGATGTAACACATGATTGTATTTATATAAGCATTTTAATATTTTTTTAATAATATAGTTTAGTAATAAAAAATTTATTTTATTCTTCCTAACATAAAAATTAAAAACATTTAAATGAAACTAATATTCCACATAAAAATAAAATATTAACTCAAATAAAAAAATATTAATATATTAAGGCCCCACCTTGGTGAAGTTGTGTTCTGTTGGGCCGGTTTTCCCCTCAATCAGGCCCACCACAAGTGGAAGTCAAAATCCAACTTGGATTTGTTTGGTTTGGCCGAGTAAGAAAAACCAATTAGAATTGGTTTTTTTGGTTTTTTGTTCTATAAAAGCAAGGTTTGGGCATAATTTTTAGGTGTGTGTTTTTCAGCCGAAAGAGAAGAAAAATTAGGGCAGCCGCGCAAGGGTTTTGTGCGAGAGAAAAAGAAAGAAAGCTAGGGTTTAGTTTTCGGTTTAACTCTCTTTTGGTTAGATCCTTCCAATCCTACTTTGTGATTTAGGAGTGTGTAGAAAAGTATTGTTGTAATCCACCTTTGGGTATAATTGTGTGTATTCACCGGTTGGTGAAGATCATTTTCCTATTATTGTGATAGTCAGTCCCGTGGTTTTTTCCGATTTGGGTTTCCACGTAAATTCGTGTGTCTCCTTTATTTTATCAATTCCTTAATTATTTTGTTTGGTTGATTATCCTATTTTATTAGTAATAGGAAATGAGATTTTTTTGGGATTCGCTTCCGTAATTTGTTATGTTTATACCCTTTCCGCCACAACATGTTCTAAATGTTCTTCGGCCACTTGGCTTAGAAGTAGAGAATCAATCAATCACCAGCCACGACTAATCAACAAAAATGCGACTTCAGAGTTTACCTTACCTTAAACTGACGGCATTCTGATTGCTACCCTAAGAAACATCAAAGAACTCTACCGACCTTGCGGTCGTGTTGCTCTTTTTTTTTTTTTTTTTTTTTGAGATAAATCAATCGATGTATTGAAATTTCAGATATGAAAACTTCATGATGGGCTGATATTCGTGCCTAATTCTTTGAAATTGTAAGGTTATAATTAGTTATGTCATTCCATATTTTGTATGGATAATGTTTTTTAATGATGTGCCCTTATTATCAATTTCTGTGACACATTAAAACCTTACTAATTAAAACAGGATTAATTTACCAATTTTGTAATGACTTGTTATTTGTCATGGAGTACTTATCAAATGATCCGCACAATTGAAAGTCATAGTCAGTCCAGCTAGCTTTGAAAGTGTCAGACAATACTCAAAACAAAATGGGGACCAAAAGGTCCTAAAACCAAGCATATTTGCATTGGATACAATAATATTGATGATATATACTGTTGATGACAATAACAATGATAGGTAAGTGTATATTTTTGATTGAAGACTTTTTAAGTATGACAGTGAATTGAGCAAGCAAAAAAGCTGACGTATAGCTGCTGACATGTCTGTATGTATAAAATCCTAATTGAATTCCAACCTCATGTGTCGCAGGATTTAAAACATGGGAGCGACGAAAAACAAAAGCCGATAAAAAGATTCGTTTCGTTGGCTTTAGAGTCTATAAAAACCAGCGCAGGAAGGCATTCATATTGCGGAGCTACATATTTAGGGTATGTTTTTTTTTTCGTTTTTTAGTGTGTGTTTTTAGGTGCTTTTTGTATTAAGAATATAAAAAGATATATTGAAAATATAAAAAGGTAGGTTGGGATCAGACAATTATTATTTAAATATCTAAAAAATATCATAAAAAAAAACCTAACAAACAAATCGTTAGAGCATATACACACAATGAGAAGTTCCCTACGCAGGAGAGATGATACCCCTATAAAATCTATCTATATATCCAGTCTTTCTTTATGGATAGTTCGGTGTCATCATTCTACGTGGGAAACTTGAAGATGAATCCAAGGACTAGAAGGTAGAAGCAAAGCATCTTCTGTGGTCGATCATATTGAATGCTGTTTCACCATTCCCATTGGAGTTAGCATTAACAAGCCCTGACATATCCAAAGCGTCTCTATTTCACCACTCAAATTTGTTGGATCATCCATGGCCAGGGGGGACACCGGGACAGAGATAGCTTTCTTTGTGTCATTTCTTACATTCTTCTTGAACCTCTGGATTTGAATCAATATTGGCGATTACTTTCTGTAGAGCACCTCGTTTATTAGAATCATCACGAATTGGTACTTGTATAATATACTCGCATTACACATGTTCCGTCTCAGATATCGTCAGAATGTTTATTCTTTTCCAATATTTGACGATTGAGGCCTTGAGGACATTCAGAAGAAAATTGAAGAGGACGATTATAAATAATTTTTTAACATAAGGCACAATCAAACACCTTAAGTGATGACATGAGATTGAAGCTTAGATAAAAAAAACCAGGCTGAGTATAATAATTTCAAGACATTAATATTTTGATATCTAAGAAAATAGTACAATTTAAGTCCAGGCAGCCTGCTTAACAGATGACAGAAATTGTGCAACACCGCATACTAAGGACAAACTAACTACCATGAACCCGGAGCACTGGCTGACGGATTCTGAAAGGCAGCCAGATTCCACACAGTCTTCAACGCATATGGTGGATAAATCTGCACATCATCTTCAGTAATTTTTGCTATCTGCACAATTCCACACACCAATTAGTTTGATTATGCCCAATAGCTTGAGAGATGTAGAAAAGACAAACATTCTACAACACCCACACAGATTCAAAGCAACATAACTGAAAAGAGAATGAAAGCGTGCAAGATAAGAGCAGTCCTCAAACTTCAAACCAACCATTATTGATAGTGTTTCATATCTAGCACATTTCAGATCTGAATGTACATCTAATCCCTTCAAAAAGGAATTGCAGCCTACAGATATCTTCTTTACCACTCAACTACATCTATACTTGAAAGTAGCACTCTAGAGTGATCAAGCAAATACACGAGGGTGCATCGTATTGCCCAAGAATACCATTAATCTATGCTCCTTACCAAATTTATCAAAGCCAGTAGACAGTAAAATTTTGATCAACGATTCTTCTGTTAAAAACGAGAATAGTCAAGACTCATTCCCATGCTTGTGAGTATTACTTCACGTCCCCGGCACCCCGGATAAAGAAAAGATGGTTCTCTGCTAGAGGTTACCAATCTAGCAAACTACCCAACTACAAGTTATCTGTTAATTCGGACTTCATCATATTTTTTATTAGTTAGTCACAGCCACCTAAAATTTATGCCCCTAGTTGGCATACAGTATCTAACAAACAAAGAACAAAGTTTTGAGCATATTTCATAAAACAATTAAAGAAAACATTAGGACAACAAACCTCCATGAATACAGAAGCATCAGGAAATTATCAACTAAACCCCAAATGAATGAAAGCACTTTACCTGTAGCTTGTTCACAGCAGATCTATCACGGTAGAGGAGGACACGCATGCATTTCTCCAATATCTTGACACCTTCTTCAAAACTCAAGTCTTCGCGCCATTCATCCCGAAGAATAGGTCGTGCCAAGTGATTCCCAAACCCTGTAGCAACATGATTGTCCTCATAATGCACTCCAATCATATTAACCTGAAAGACAAAATGGTAAGATATACAGAGAAATCAAACGGTAATTATATGAACACAATAGTTATCACTCATTAATAATGTAAAAATAAGCTCATATTACCGTTCCAAGGTACTTCTGTCCATTTTTCACCCCTCCAAGGATGAGATTGTTCCACAGAGGATTAAACTTGTTACGACGATTGTACATAACTCGGACTAAATAATTATGAATATCCTTGGGTCCCAAGGAGTTCCCGTCATCCCACATATTATCATTTAGTCTGCAAACAAGATATACAAACCCAATAAGAATGGTTGTTGGCAAAATCTTCAGGTCCCAATGATTCAACATGTAGACTTGCAATTAAAAATCTCACTTACACGAGATCATCAAGATAGCGTAAAATTTCCTGAAAATCACTGATTTCTCCACTTGCACCAATAAGAGAATGTTTTCCTACTTTCTCAATTCGCTGAACACTCTTATAGCGAATGGTTGAACCATATGAACCTGAAAGTAACCAAAAGTTTCCAGATATGATTTACCTCTGAGATTAAAACAAACATATAGAGATTAACCACATAAGCCATATCCATTCTAAAAGCTCAAAATAAGGAGGGTGAAAATAGCAAAGTGATCCAGAATAACATGCGCACAAAACTTTCAATTAAATTAGTTCAATATAACCAAATTTGTTGACCTGGTAACACAGAACTACCTTCTGCACCTCCCGTTGCCTTAAATTAATCCAAATTTCCAAGACAAACTTTGATTCTGGATATTTGAACAATCAAAGATAGATAGATGGCTACAGAAATACCCATCTTGGGGGATTAAAAAAAGAGAGCATTGTTCAGCTTTGTAAACAGTTAATCATAACTTATTACTTTCAGAGCATGTAAAAGATTTGCTCCAGTACTCCACCCCCCACACCCCCATACAGGAAAAGAACAGGAAAAAAAAGAAGAGAACATGTTTCGCATTCCGCATCACTGCTACAGAAAAGTTCAACCACTTACCCTCATCTACATCTCCTTAAATTCCCCCACCCCCGGCCGTGTGGCCTTAAACTCCAACATCCAGTAATTTTTCACAGTTTTCTCCATCTTATTTCCCTTCTTGTTTTGTTATCAACTGACTGATTCTGTATCTAACTCTTCCATGGAGATGCCTAGGCTATCACTCAAATCTAGCAAACAAACTATTCATGATTGCATCAATCTATTCTAAAAAATTCAATCTTTACACCCATTAACACATCGATTCAAACAAAGAAGATACCACGCTCATTAGCTATCAATTCAACATAACAGGAATGAAGCTCAAAAGTCAATAGGAGACGAATTATTTTAGAATTATAAGAAAACATGACATTAAGAAATCATCCATCGACTATCCCCACAAAGAACGCAACTTGACAGTGTGCTTGATACACCAAACCGAAACACAACTCGTACAATTTAAGCCGGTAGCAAAACATAAGCTAAGGCAAACACTTTAAGCAACACCTAAACCAGAATCAACTATCATATTCAGTTCAAGAGGACAGTTAAACGAGAAGAGAGGGGGAAAAGAGACAGATCTGAAACTAACCTCCCATATCAGCAACCATAAGAATGCCATCCTTGTACTTGAGCCCAATCACAGAAGTTCCAGTAACGTAAGGAGTCCTATATTACACAACCAAGAAGAATTAGCTTAGTGCGCCAAAAACCCTAAAAAAAATTTATGTTCACAAAATTCTTCACGAAACCTAATTCATATTAAAATCAGCAATCACCATTAAACGAAAAACACATCAAAGGAATCGAAAGACCATACTTTGTGCGCTGGATAGCGGAGTCGGGGGAGGCGAGGAGGCTGTTCTCAACGGGAGCGGAAGCCGGCGATTCCATCATCTACAGTAGAAAAAGGAGTCCAGATTGATTAAAGTAAAAAGTAATAATGGCTACGATCAGAACCCCAAGTTTAAAATTAAATTCGAAGAACCAAAAGTGGAATTGACTTACCATCTCGTGAGGCTTTTGATCGGAGAAGAGAGGTGACGGGAGTAATACTTGAGTTTTTATTCAGAGTTTCTGTCTTTCCCTTTATTCAAGAAATCGTGGTCTAGCGGGTCGGATTTAAGAAAACGGGGCAGTTCGCCTCGCCATATACTAGTAGAGTATAAGTTTCTTTTTTACTTAGTAAATTAAACTTTGAGAATAACCAAAATAATTAATTAATTAAATTCGCAGCTTCGCCCTTTTTATAGCTAAAAATACTACTATTTATATAGGTTTTTCTGTTGCTTATCCAAAAAGAAAAACGATTCCATTAGGTATTTGACTTTAGAGGTTCTAATTGTTAATAATAAATAAATAAATGATACCAAGTTATGCATAGTAAAAGGAAACAAGTATTTAAATTGAATCAACCTTTTTGCAACGAAATTTATTTATTTACAAGAAATACATTGGGTTGCTCTAAAATTTAGTTCTATGCTTTCGTTGTGTAGTAGTATAATTTAAAGCTTGAAAAGATATGTTTGAACTTGTATAACTATTCTGAATTCTTGAATGTGATAAAATTGTCCGGTTTCGGGGTCCTCGTTCTGTTTACATTTTTTTCCCTCTTTGGTTTAAATCTTCTTGTTCCTACTCTTTGGTTTCTTGTTCTTAATCACGGCTTTGGTTTAAGTCTTCTTGTCCTTAATCACGCTACACAATGTGAGAATTACCCGAAATTAAAGGCTGCTAGATCCATCTCTCATTATCACCCCAACAGCAATAAGTCAATAACCGTCGGCTAAGCTAAAGGATCCACCTGTTCGTTATCACCCATGCTTCATAATTGGAAAAACGAGCACCACTCCGGGGGATTTGAACAATTTTATTTATCTCCTAATAAAAGAGGATAAAGGAATAGTTGACTTGAAAACACCTCAAGAAACTTTCCTGGTCCTAAAAAATTTATTCAATGATAAACCTATGTGAATTCACTGATCCATACGGTGATATATAACCACTACTGATTTGCGGGTAGAATTTTGGCTCTTTAATCTCCTCCCTTCCCTACTAGATAATTTCCCGCAAACATCCTGCCTAGACTAATGTGATACCACGAAATTCATTAGGTAGAAAGGGCAAGTCACACTTGACATCCAAAACAAGTTTAAATTTCTCTCGTTCCACTGTTCAAAATAGATATGAGTTACAGACTATACTATCCCATAAATTTAAGGTGAGGTGCCGCATTTACAAGGTATTTTTTCAAGACATGAGATGAGAAACAAAAAGGGGGTATTTCCAATTCTAAAATTGCTTCCCCCAATATCCGATAGAATTTACCAAGCGGACTTCTTCCTCTGGTCACGCTACTATCTTCCTGCCCAATTTACAGCTTACAAGGTAAAGAAACCTAGGAGTAAACCATTGAGGTCAGCAAAAGAAGGAAACCCGTTTGAACCTGTCGCGAGAAGAAAAAACAACCTGTTAAAGAGAGCAGCCAACATTCTGCTCACAAAAACCAAGACATCTGGATTGGAGTAGAAAATGGGAACCAACTGCTCACCAATAAAAAGAAACTCCCAACCGTCCCAGCAATACTTATGTACGGATGTTTCAATCTAAATCCTTCGCTGTGTGTCTATAACTAAGTTAACTAAATTCCTGAGAGGAGTAACAGCAGCTTCTATATTGTACAAGTGCGGTTGAACTTGGCAGCAAGCATGAATAGCAATTTTCCCTACTGACTGTCCCGCAAACAAAAGGATGTCCGTAACATACTTGATTTTTGCAGGGGAAAAAAATGCTGCAATTTAAATACAACTCATTCATTCAGAGTCTGAATCAATTGATAAATATAACCTTGGTCTCACGGATCGCCGCTGCCGAGGAAATGTAAAGGGGCTATCTGATCTTTCCCTGGTAACCTTTGCAGATTTATTACCGTTCATGCCAAGAAGTAAAGAAGCTGCAGGAAAAGGGGTAACATTAAACTCGGTGCAAACAATGTTCAACAAACAAAGAGGAGATTTAGAACTAAGAATATCATGGGAAGACAAACTTCAATCTGCATCATTGATGGAATGCAAATGGATGACACAGTATCTACATTTTCTCAGCCTACCTCTATAAGAGCAAACAAGTTGAACAACCGTAACAAGTTGAACAAGCGTAACAAGTTGAACCAAGTACCATAACAGAAGATATCCTTGCCAAAACAAAATATTGAATTTGAGGAGATACAGATAAAAGGAAACAAAAAATGCCCCACCAAAACACAAATGATCAGCCAATTAAGCAATTCCGTGATATAAGAAAAGAAATCAAAGCTTAACCAAGAAGAAATACCTTCAGCTAATGAGTCCAAGGCACCATCTTGTTTTGATTGCGATTGCTGCCCCGTATTTATCCCGCCAGCAGCTGCAGTACCATCATTTACCCCTCCACTACTACCCCCCAAACTGAGTGAAATCCAATCTTCAGTATGAATACCATTTGACAAATCCGGCTGATCCCTAAATTCAGCCTGTGCAGATGCATCTGTAGGCCTCGTAGGGAGAAATATTTGGAGGGATGGGTCATTACCATTGAATGCTAAGGGATTATCAACCAAACCCTCACTGATATTACCATGAGGGTGTTGTGAAGAAGACTCGGGAACAAAAGCAGCAGAACCCATTGCAGTCTCCCCAGCCAGAGTATAGCCATTAATAGATGAAGGACAAGCAGCAGAACTTGGTGGCATATCTACCAAAGCATCAGAGACGTCTCCATCAGAACCAAATAACTGGAAACCAGCACCTGTTTGACTACCAGAAGGTAATAGAGACCACATTTGCATTAGATCATCATCATTTGTATGGAAAGGACCATTAACTCCTGTATTAAGGACAGGGTCTTCTGAGTAGTGATCAGGAATGATACGTGGAGCAACTGGATAAGATACTCCACCGCCATCACTCCGAAGATTGTTGTAGACAGGACCAGAAGAAACAATGGGTTCATTTTCTTCCTCTGAATCACTAAGGACAATAACCTCAGGATCCCCCAAAGGAACCGAGGAGTTTCGACCATTGTATCCATAATTTGGGTCAATGTTTAGAGACATTGAATCAAGTTCAATCCCATTAGCAGTAGAGTAGTCAAGGTTCCCAGCACCATCTTGGTTTACACTGGCATCTTCACCATCTTTCCCACTGCCAGTAGCACTACTGCTCATGGGAATGATGTTTTGTCTTGGGTAAAACTCCTCCTGAAGTTTATTTCCGGAAGAAAACGTCTGCATGTCTTCTGGTTTGCTAATCTCCCAGACACCATTTCTGTTCTTTTTCATTCCAAGTTTCAGACCAGGATGCCCATCAGAACCGGCTTCCTGCTTGATCTGCTTGGGAACATCTGGTTTTGTTTTTGAGTCTACCTCCATGGACACACTAAGAGAACCATCAGGTGCATGCCACAGCCAAAGATCCCCAAGGGCCCTACGGTCACCATCTGACTTTGCCCGCCAAGATCCGTCTGGCTTCACTTCGATCTCATTCACCTCTTCTCCAAAACTCCGCAACTTTAACCAAAAAGAGAAACAATCACAGAGATTAGCTTGCTAAAAATTATTGTGATTATATACTTAGAAATAACCGACAAATGATACCTTAGTAGTGATGCAATTAAAATATGGGTCTATGATGATATTGTCCAAGCAGTAATTCTTGAGACAAATTGGGCATTGCCACTGCAGCAACGTAAATTTAAGTTAATAATCAGATAAGTTGGTAAAAATGTGCCCTCTCTCACCGCCCACAACAAATATTCAGAGCAAACAACTTGCCTTCCTAGACCTCATATTCATTTCCACAAACACCTCAAGATCAAAACATCCCATATGAACACATGGTTTAAATCTTCCAGCAACCTTCATTCGTGAACCACTCATCTGTTACACAAACGGACATAAGCAACAATGATTAAGCTTGTTGAGGCTAAAGCCTCATACAGCAGCTTGACATTTTCCATCAAAGATCATAAACGCAATCAGGTAAAAATAACTTTCCGAGTCTCAACAAATTCATAACAGGCACCTTAAAAGTAGAAACTTCCAATGCATATTTCTCACAAACAAGCCACATAGAAGGTTTACGAGAATGTTCACTAAGTCAACCCCAAATGATGCAGAACCCACTCTAAATGACCAAATATGAATATCTTATTAACTACTGCAGCTCTGATAAGACACACATATTAATCATTATAAAGAAAACTGTGTGGGATCTGGATTCCCCTAAAAAAACGACCAACTGTTCAGATTTTCAGAGTCCTTTTTTCTCATTGGGAATGTCAAAAGGTAGAATTGGAAGGAAAATGTATAAAGAAGAAAAATACTAGAAACACCTGTGAGAAAAACAACATAAACAAAATGCAAGTGAAGAGGGAGACTGAAAATGCATAACGAAGAGAGTGACAAAAATTAATCAGGAGACCTCTTTAGAAAATGTAAAAAACGCCCAATCAGTATGCATCGATGTCTAGTATCTGTATCACAAGCATCTCAAATATGCATCTTTCACATAAAAACGATATAAAAGTTGATTCACAAACTAAGTAAAAACAGATCATATATTACTTGAAATAGAAGGCCCAGTCAATAATCACTACAATTTCAAGCACAACATACACAAAAATGTTAGCTTGGGGTATTCATATTCTTTTAAAACCACCTCAAACATATTGACGCAATGACAATCTACTTAAAAATCAAACACGGAAAATATTTCCAAATCAGAAATTTATCATACTTACAGGACACCGAAGATTCACAGGGATAAAATCAGCTACAACTTCCAAGTCACTGTCACTATCAGCAGCTTCTGTAGCATTGCCACCACCAACACATCGTCTCACACGAGCAACTGCATCTTCAAATCGCTCCCCTTCAGCTTCTTTAGGAATCAAGTTCATAATCTAGGAAACATGGAGCGATAGGTGAAACAAGGAGACTATCAATAACAACAAAACCAAGCAACAAAAGGCCACCATAGACTCTCCAAGAAATTATCAACCCAAAGAGATAAAAAGTAAGCTAAAAATACAAATCCTATATAAAACCTGAACCAGAAAGAGAAATGAGAGCACAAAATACACTAAAAACCACGTCAATTTTCCAGGGAACTTTACGAGGAAGAAAATAACCTACATGCTGAACAGTCCGGCGCTTCACAATTCTGACACCAAGACAAAAAACGCGAGCATCACATCCAGTCAAGGAAATTTTATTAATTCCATCTCTAGTGCAAGGCGTGATCTGAAAACAAGAGAGCATGAACCAAAAAATCATAACCCAACAACAAAAGTATGCCATCATTTAGTTTCACCATAAAAAGGGCACAGACAGAGAAAGAGACAGACACACACAACACACACAGTCACACACACGCACATACACACACAGCAACAGCTAGACAGCGATGAAACTCGAGCTACATTAAATTTCACATCAAAAAGTGAAAACTCACAATAGGTCCATCATCTCGACCATTGGCACCTAGTAACTGTGATCCTGGCCGGTTAATTGCACGCACTGGTACACCTGTTGTCCCAGTTAAAAGATAACTTATTAATCCAGAATAGAAAAAAAAAAAAAAAAAGGAACTTTTGGAAAGGCAAAAGAATATTCTAGGCCCAACTATTCAGCTTCCAGTAACCAAAACCTGGAAAGAGCTCTACACATTAATCCTCACAATTAGCCAGGATTGGCATGCGATGCCAAGTGAGAATAAACAGTCTTTGCAAAATACTTCAGTGAAATAGGCTCAAATTGTAAGAAACAACCTCACCAATTAAAGCTGGGTGCCTCACAGAGCAGAATCCACTTTAAGAGAAAATAAAAAGACTTCACCAAAGGATAATCCTCAAAGACACATATATAGTCTCAACCTATGTAAGTTCACAGTGAGGAGTGGCATACCATTGACTTGTAGATCCGCATACTGTGGCCACTGCATCCTGAATGGAACCTTGTCATTGAGAAGCATGCACCAGGCCTACATAGGTAAACACCATCATATTTAACAACTGTAAGCAACAGAACATAACAGAGCGCAGAAAACTTGAGCTGAAATATAATAATGCACCAGCATTCATCTAAACATATTAATATACATTGGATCAAAACAAATAACCAACCTGGACATCATATTCCTGTTTTGACAATAGGTCCTTGTCGGCTCTAGTCAGCTGAAATGTTTTCTCAATGCTCTGAACAGGATTGGAGCTGGAAGACAAGCAAATTATACATAAGCAAGGTAAGCATTTATCAACGCAAATGCCTGATTAAAGTTACAGGGTATAAAACAATTCATATTCCCTTTTGCCTCCCAAACTCCCAGGCCCTTTTCCTTCTCTTTCTCATGCAAAGGTAAACGACTAGAGACATTTTATCCCTTCGTCCCGAACTACACTAACTGGCTGCCTTTGATAACCATTTACTAGTAAAATGTGAACCCAAGAAACAGAAAGATCGATCACAGTCCCATAGCAACCAGGCAAATTTCAATACCAGACCTTAATGCTTTCAATGAAAATAAGGCAATAATAAAGGAAATGGTTACATTACTTTATTACATATTGAAAGCATCGGGTCTGTATGGGTTGTTAATTATTTACTACACTAGTACAATTACTAACATACAGATTCAGAACCATGATAAACAAATTGCATAAGTCCAAACACATATCACTTCAGCATATCATGGAGGGAAGAAATAAGAAGCCACAATGCTTACCCGTCAGCAGGAATACTAGTAATCAGTAACTTCACAGGATAAAGGGGATTGGCAATTGTCACCCAGAAGCTGCATAGAAGAAGAATCAATTCAGGAGAGAAAAAAAACTTTTGTTTCAGAGGGAGAAAAACAAAAGGGAAAGAAACTCCCAAAAGAAGCCTAGCATTTAAACAAAATCAAGCAAGTAATCGCAAACAGCTTAATCGAAACTCATTAAACTCAAAAAACAACAGGAGAAACTCAAAACTCACTGCACCAACAGCTAGTATACACACTAATAGATCAAATTATCTAACAAGGACAAAGGGATGTCAAATATAAAGCCTAAATATATAGCAACTCCCAAATAGCCAACCAGCAGCCCCACAGAAGAAAAAACACATAAGCCGGAAAGTTAACCAATTAACCGTGGAAAATAAAACAGGGAAGTGTTACTTACGGGTCAGCACGACTCAGTCTACAGAGTTCACAGTAAAATGTTTCTGGAGGAACAGGTGAGGCACAATCGCCAGACTTTTCTGGAATTACAACACAGCCAATGTGCTGCCACACTCCGCATTTTGGATCTTCACACTGCAGCCGATAACAAACTTATTCAATAAAGGCAACCACTAAAATGCATAGTACAACAGAATGCAAACAACATGCTTATAAGGAACAACTAACAAGCACCAACAATCATAAACGGTAAAATCCACATGATGCTGAATCTTATCAGGAAAGTAACGGAGTACGGAACTATGACTACATATGAACTCTCAACTGAAATGCACCTTCTGAACTGAACTAGATTAAAGTAACTCATTACAATGTCAAAGAAGTCCTTGTTAAAAAGGATAAAATCAAATCCTACAAAGATAATAAATCTAACATTAACACAGGAAGACAACAGCGAAACCTGCATAAGAATTAAAATGATGGGGGAAAAAATATCAGGGATGACCTTAATAGTTGTTTCATTCTGCAAAGAGCTTCCACAGGGGCAGCGGACTTTTTCAATCTGATAAGATTCTTCAGGCTCCTCTTTGAAGCGTATGCTGCTACTTTCAGAGACACCTTGTGATTTAGAGGCTAACTCAGTCGCTCCTGGCACCTGCATTTTCCTGAAAGCACCAACAGGTTTGAGAAAAATGCGGCATCAACTTATTTCAAAGTTTTGGAGAATCCAACTGACACAACTCTGCACGACAATAATCAAATGCACAACTAGCTAAATACTTCTCCCATCAAACCCAAAAAGACAAGCATGAAGTACAAATTTTTCAATCGGAATCACAAATTAATAAATCCAGCAGACCCAAATCCAATCAAACAGAAACATACCAAACAAAATAAATGCACGAGTATCATATCAAAGATAGCAAATGAAAGACCTGTAAGTATCATCCACTAATTTTGCTACATCTTGTGGCGAAATATTATTTTTCTTCGCCCAGGATCCCGACACTGCATATAAAATGGAAACAATTACATCAGTATAGACCACAAGTTGGGAACTACAAATATAATGAGTAATCATAAATGAATGTGTCATGAGATATGATTACTAAAGAAACACATCAAAGACAGCAACTAAACGACATAAGTCGGTAAATAAGAGCAGATAACAATGTCCTAGTTGGGAGTAGAAGTCATCAAACTAAAAGGGAAGGGTAGTAAAGTTAACTAGCGAATAACAATAATACAAGAAACCGTATTTATGTATTATCATGCTCGTTTAAGAAGCTATGTGTAAATGTCTTTCCATCGCGTTAATGATCCACATGGTCTTTCCAGGAATGCAGGCAATTAGCAACACACGTTATGAAATATACTGGGGCCATCATATGGCTCCAGCGGCATGAATAAGTACCATTTTCCCAAAGAAGATATAAGAGAGAAAAAAAACAAAAGTATGCACCTCGATCATCAGCAATAACCTTCAATATCCGCTCAATAAGATCCTACACAAAAACAAGCGAAAGACAGTCAATCTTTCAATAATCTTGGAAAAATTTTCCCTCCAAGAATCCCATTGGATCAAAGATTGAATTTTTACAGTAAAACATAGATGATTTGGGAGCGATAAACGGACGTCATAAGAAAATGTAGTTGGACATTTCCTACGGGAAGCAGTGATCTCATATCAAACCTGTTTCTTCCCCTGCTTGGAAGCCCCTAATTGTTGTAGGACATCCTTGAGCTCTTTTACTCGAAAGTATGCCAACTTGTCCTACAAAAAAGAACCACAGTATTAATTTCCCTCAACTCCACATAAATGCCTATTTAGCGAGTCAATGCAAAAAAAGGGGGGAAGGAGGGAGGGAACAGATGGGAAGGTGGGAAAGTAAATGTAACAAGATGTATTTTAGAATGATGCCGTCAAAGAATGACTTGCGGCCAGAACCTTAGAGATGCCGAAAGCACTATAGATAATAGCTAAGCCAAATCATACAACAACTGGGTATCACACGATGCCGTTTTGTTGAAAAGAAAAAGGCTGCAATTACTACTTCACCAAGTGAATGATAATTTTAGAGGCACAGCCGTAACTGAATTTTTGCCAGGGATAATTATTAAATACAGAAACAAAGGAGTCACAGGCAATAATTTGATGATGACTGGATTTTCTTAATACAGCCAACAAAACGACACCAAGAATCACAAAACGACGATAGTAGCCACGTGGTTCATCACACAAAGGCCACACAACCAACTTATTAATGTTGCGTCATAAGTCCTTCTACATCTAGGTAATTAATGCAGTCGGTAAAACTAATTATTAAAGGATCAAGTTCAAGAGAGAGAATGGGCATCAAAGGAAACCAAACCCAAAACCAAATCCCTGGGGAGGAAGTTGGGCATAATTGCTATCATTGATCATTCAAAATTAGAAATATTTAACAACATTCCAAAGACGAAACTAGTTTCAGATGACAAAGGAAACTTTAAGTGAAAAGGATCATTCATTAAGACAGCATCGGAAAAGCTCTGGAGCAGTTTCAAGCCAAGAAAACATCCATAAAATTATCCAGAAACACCAAACCAACAAAATTTTTCCTTTCCATAACAGCTTCAATTTCATTTTTTAAAAAAGGATACGAAATGATCAAAGTTGAACTCATCATTTAGGAAATCAAGAGAGCCTAAACAAATTGAATTCTGCAGCACAAACAACTAACTTCTGGTCCCAGAGATTTCCAAAACAATTTACAGGCTGTAAACCAGGAAGACGCCAAAAAAAGAGAGACAAACACCACAGCGGTGGCAAGCTAAAGCACTCAAAGAGGCAAACTTCTCCTACTTCCAGCAGCAAACACGGTACATTTATCGAATGATATATCTCGAACAAAATTCTATACACAAAACATAGGCAGCACAGAGTATAAAGTCCACCTTGCAACTCGCCATCAAATCCATATCTAATCACCGTGCTGCCACCGCAGCAGCCGCCGCCGATGTATCGCAGTTCAATCAGCGCCGATGTCAATCGACACACAAAACATGCCCCCTCCGGAATTCAAGATGATCTAATTACTTGAACAAACCACGGAAAACAGCATTTGATTAGTGAAATACAATTCCAATCACGCGTCCCACACACAAAAATTGAATTAAAAATAGAGAAAAAGCGCATAAAGGCACAGCCGACGACAGAATTGGACGGAAAAGCTTACAACGGTGAAATGAATACAAGACAATCCGGCGGTGTGGCGGTGGAGGTGGAGGTGGATTTTCCGTCTGGCAAGGGTTTAGAGAAGTGAGCCTCTCACGCCGACTCCGCCGTTTTTTTCCTTTTTTTTTTTTTTTTTTTTTCTTTTTATAATTTTGGGTTTGCCCTGTTTTATTTCCCTCTTCACAATTCCTTTTCTTTGACTGAGACGAAGCCGGAAAGAGGCTATCCAGCACTTACCTGCGGATGTATCGTCGTTTCATCAAATCCGGTTTAGTCACCCCGAACACGTCCGGGTTAGGATTGTGTGCTCTCACGTGCATTGCATACGGCACTCTCCCCCCTTTTTTCCTATTTTTCCTTTTTCTTTTTCTTTTTTTCTTTTTAAATCTGACGGTGCTTCGGACCTAGCAGAGAGGGACAAATTAAAAAAAGGCCAAATAAAAATAATCGTGGAAATTAAAATAAAATTATCTTGTGGGTCCAATTGCGGAGCCGTATGGCTGCGGAACTGTATAAGGTTGAATTCTATATGCTTTTGGATTGTTTGTTAATTAGCCATCATAATAAGGTTCATGATATAAACGAATAATAAACTATTAAAAAATTAAACTACTATACTTTTAGGAGTTAGGTAGTACATATATTAATATTTTCCATGCCAAATAAAAGCTACAACAACAATTTTATATATGTATTTTATTTTTTTTCCTTCTTTTTTTTTTTTGCTTAATTTAATCATTTCATTCAGAAAAAATTCCATTAGAAGCAATTTGTTCGGGTATAAAATGTGATTCAGACCAGGATTTTTTTTTTTAAAGTAATCATCTAACACTCTATAGTTCCTATAAAAATTAAATGAATCATTATCACTTACATTTACAGTTTGAAGAAGATGCAAGCAGATGTTGACGATAAAAGTGTTACCTCCGTAGCTATGGAAGGTCAACAGCTCATGAAGGCTAGTTAGTGGTATAATAAAATTATAAATGAGATGTAATATAATAAAATTCTATAAAACAGAATAACAATGCAACTGTTATTCAGCAGAAGTCGCTAGTTTCATTTCACATAGGAAGGAGTTCAATTTAATTTCAGCATAACGTAGCTAATGTTACCGGTGTTTGAATAATTTCTCTTACCACCCAAAAAAAAAAAGAAGTTCAAATTCAAAGATTATAGATAGTGTAGCAGTGCATAAACCAAATCAATTTTCTGTGGCAGTGCAACTACATAACAAAATCAAAATTGTGTTAAGTACTTTTATGTCTGAACCCCCGTGTAATTATTGTCTTTTGAAATTTTGTGGACTTGGCTCTAATTCAAAAGAACATGTCACAAGAACTACTCTCTCCAATCCTTATTACTCCCCCCGTCCCATAATTATTGTCCACTTTACCCAAAAAATTTTGTCCCAAATTTATTGTCCAATTTGACTTTTTATGGATCAAGTTACACATTTGTCCTTAGTAAAAAACATTATCCATAAAATCTTTGTGGTTAAACAATTACTTATGTAGGGGTATATCCGGTTATTTAAGGTAAAATATAGTTAAATTTGACAAAAAATAAAATCTTTCAATTTAGTAAAACTGGACAATAATTATTGGACGGAGGGAGTATAAGGCATTTTGACTTTTCCTAAGTTTCACTTAGTATGTATTTTTTATTGTAAAAAAAGACCTTAAAAATTTTTCATAACAATTAAGAGAACACAAGGGATGTGAAATTATATTTTTAAGATTTTTTGTCAATTAAAAATATGTACTAAGTGAAACATAAGACAAATCAAAATTCCTTATATTAAGAACCGGAGGAAGTACATTAGAACGAACTTAAACCTATCATATATACAGTGTTTTGAGTCATTGTTCTTTAGTAGTATCCGTCCATGAATTATGCCCGATCAAATTACATCATCGTTATATATCCCAAAGAATCAACAAATGTAATCACATTAAAATTCGCTGTCTAATTTTGTATATTCAGTCATGCAAGAAGTAGAAGTTGCTATAGAACACAATTAAGAAGAAATTTTAAACTTTGTTTTACTGGTTTTCTTTTCTAGCCTTTTAGGCGTTTAGACAGTTTCATTGAACCCTGCAGCATATGACCAACTTCAACACTTCCCAGTTTCCCCAGCTCAAAAAGATTGGGTGACACAACGCTGCTGGAGGTTTGGAGCAGAGATCATCCTTCATGCACTGTCGATCATCAAAATTGTCTTCTCCGGGCATCAGGCTCAAGAGAGTCTCTTCTTTTGGCAATTTTCTGCTAAGAGTCTTCTTCTCTATGTGAATCCGAGACATCCAACCAGAAGAGTATAAACAGCCATTACTAACTCTTATCACCTAGAAAACAATGAAGCTCTCCAGGAGAGAGGAAAAACCAATCCCAGACAAGTAATCAAACTCTATTCTTCCATATCCACGACCGAGTGAGACTGCTTGAAGCTCTCGCAACCAGGGCAGTTGTGCAAGCTCTCATGAATATAGATGTCGCAATCAAGACAGAAGTGCTGTTTGCATTTGGGACAAGAAACACAAGACACCGACATACTTCCTGCATGCATAGAAATCCAAGAATAAAGTGCAATTTCAGGTCAGGCCTGTAATGTCTAGGCCAGCAGTTGTCACTTGTTGCTAATCAGGTTACAAATATCTTTGCAAGGAATGTATTATTGACATTGACCTGTTAGTAAACTTCATCGAAACTTCGTTTTATAGATAGCAAGCATGTAGCAGCTGCCTATTGTACAAATTAGACTCAGCAAAAGGGGCCAAAGAAGCTAGACTCTATCAGAGAAAGTCAATAAAAACTTGAAAGGGTATTTATTTTAACAGTGAAGTGTTTGAATGAGCAAACCAAATGACTTTGCTTAAGAAAGGATGCGGAAGAAACTGTTGTGCTCTCGATTTCTTAATTTTGAATAGGAGCTAAATGTATACCGTAAAAATATCCCCCGAGGGCAGTAATGCTCATACATTTCATTTCCAAATAATCCCCTAATGACAATCCATAAAATCCAAACAAGCAAGGAGATTCGATTCATTCTGAATTCTTTAACTTTAATTCCGAATCACCTTTCAAAAAAGAAAAAAAAAAATCAGAATAAAAAAAGGGGGAGTTCTAGCATTAATTCACCCATCAGCTTTGGCAACAGAAAAGTACAACAAAGTAAACATGTCCTTACCAGGATCTAGAAGACTCTGCTGGCAACCAAAGCAACTCTTCGGAAGCTTACGCGGGTTGTTCTTGAGTGATGGTGATACATCATCAAAAGGAGTAATAGGAAAAAGGTGATGATATGATCTTGCCAGATGGGGAGATGAAACAAGGGTCAGCCCACATATGCAACATTCAGTAGGAAGCTCACATACACGGGCTTTGCATCTTGGACAAGTATAACCCCCACCCACCTTAATTTCCTTGTGACATGAACAGATTGAGATAACACCTTCTGCAGCTCTTTGAGGGAAACCCATCTTGATTAAATTGGAAACTGCAAATTCAGCTATTGCTGGAGGTGGTGGTGCATGCTCCAACACCGATTCTTTCAAGTGTGACTGTAGAAAAACACATCCATCATTAGATAACTCATATTGGTTATTGGTATATGAGCATTACATAAGTACAGCCTTTCCTTGGTCCTCACTAGAACTAGACAAAATCATGACTAAATGAGATTATGTCATTAAGTCTAAGCAGCTATTGAGCAATTTCAGAGACGAAACTCCCAAATGAGATCACAAGTCCAATACAAACTCACCTCATCCAATGCAACTGAATATACTCCACCAGTTTCTTGGCAAAGATACTTACATATGTATACTTCTGCTGAAAGACCAATAATTGAACACCTTATTTTAGCTTTCTTGCATTTCTGGATGGTTTCCATGATATCCCCAGGATCACAAGTAGAAAGAGCTGAATACAAAATCAGAACTTCACGATGACCATATGATGGGATTTGATTTAAAAGGTCATGCACAAGATCAAGGCCATTCTGGAGAGAGGCATCACCCGAGCACCCTAATTTACCCAACAAAGCTTTGATATGGGACTCTGGGCTGCCACCAAGATCTGTCAAACATTGAGCTACCCCATCTTTCAGTATCACTAGGCCAATCTGGCTTAAAGGATTCTGATCGAAGAACTCCCTAATGAAAGCCTCCACTTGTCTTGCCACCACAACCATTCTGCTTGGTTTATAATCCATTTCTCCCGCTGCCTAAATGTCAGAATATTAAAATATCATTCTTCGATTAAGCTAAAGTAGGAAACTAATACAGTATTAATGACCAGTTGTTAGAAATTCTCGTATATTCGGACCTGTTATTATGCATTGCATTCTTATTTTGTAGGTTTCAATCAAGAGATAGCCTTTGATAATATTGGGCAATAAAAACTTCGTGAAACAAGTTTACTACATCAGGAAACAGATGGTTTGCTCTCAACTTCTGGACTCATTTTCTATATCTTTACATCTGCAGCCAAGATATATATAAAATATAATTAATCTAAGAGACAGTTTGGCCCCTAACCTTTGGACTATCACTATAATGCACAAAAAGCTGATATAACTTAATTACAGAAAGTGAAAGGAAAGGTCAAAGAGCAGAGAATCCCTAACTTGGTAATCCAAACGTCAACAGTAGATGACAACAATGTACAATCACTCAGACGTTCATACACATCCAAAAACCTACCCAATATCTCTACCGCCTTCATAATATCTTCAACTTAACAAGATTTCCAATCAAATAACCTGTGTCAATCATTTTCATCTGTAAAGGATGGGAATCAAAAAACAAAAAAAAACAATTTTTCACAATTGACCTACTTAACAAAGTAACCAGCTAGCCTTCATTCAATTTACTTTTGGTCACTTAGCCAACACACAATTCAAGAAAGAGTACAATCCAACAATTGAGATACCCTAGCTAGCAAATGATGAAGAAAATTCACGAAATGTCTTCTTAAATGAAAGTCCTAATTAAGCACTCATCCTAGCGAGAATAGACCCAACTTTAATGCTAAATGATAGTATATTTCTTAAAGTTCCATATAAATAAACAGGATAGGTGCAAGGGTATAATAACTAATAAATGATGAGCCAAATTAGGTATTAAATTCATGGTAGAGACTCCAAGCAGTAGAAATCAATCCGATCAATTCAATATCCATACCCGAGAAAGATCAATGACAATGTAGAGATAGCGAATAAGGCCTTTCTGAATTCTTGTGGTAGAAGCACTGCGGAGGCGTTTTCTATATTGAGCATGGTGGAGGGCTTTGTTGTCTACATGCCGAAGACGGCCATATTCATCTTCTTGTAGAGACTCCCAAGATCTATCATCTGCATACATCTTCTCCCATGCATCTTGGTTTCTCTCTTCTTCTTCCTCTTCTTCTTCTTCTTCGTTTCCATTAAATTTTCTTCCTTCACCATTAGTCCCTCTTTGCATCTTGAAGAGCTCCTCAGTCTCCCTTACAACAGAAATATTTTTCAAAGATAAATTCTGTGCCCTAACTCCTTAATGAGAACAACTGCTAGTGCACAAGAAGCTTTTCTAATCATCTCATGATCAATTAAACTGCTTTTCTATAAAAGCCAATGCACAATTCAGCAGAAACTGGTTTAAAAAAATGCGCCATTGGCTTATATGTGTAGGGAAAGATGAACCTAGATTAAAGTAGAAAGATTCATAACAATGAAGCACCAATCACATTAACCAAACAACCAATGATACTAACTTATACAAATTCTCAACCTCAGCAATTATGATTGCGCACATACGATAAAACAACTGTGTTTGCCAGCATTCTGATTTCGTGGTTGATAGTGAAATTCTTCGAGTTCGAAAAGGGCAAACTATTTCTTTAGTGATTACGGGCAAAGGGTAAATAGATATGCAGAAGAAGCTACTGAGGTAAAGAAAATCTTTACAATGATGGAACATTACCTATACGGATGTGGAGGCCACACAGTTGGGTTTTTTTTCTCCGAGTAATTACAGTGAAGTCAAGGCAACGGCCGACGGTGGTGGAGGTGATCGGCGGTGGCGCCGCTGAAGGCTGATAGAGATTTGAGTTGCAAAATCGCAGTGAACTGGCGAACGGGCAAAATCTTTTTTGGGGGTTTGGGGTTTTTATATAACGTTATTAGTATTAACTTTTCTTTTCATTTCTTTCATATATTTTATAATTGAATGACCTAATTTGTATGTTTAATAGCTGTAACAGTAATTAAGATGAAAATCTTTGACTATTTTATCATCTTAATCATGTCCTCCAATCAATAGCTAAAACTTCATAAATTGGTAAACCAAAAGATTAAAAAATAAAAAACTTCATAAGTTTATACAAACTTATGGCCCTTTTTATTTTTTAAGGTACTAAAACTGTGATTCGAATTATGAAGCTCTGAAAGAATACATTAAGGGTCAGAGAAATATCACCATTGAAATTCAAAAATATTACAAACAGCAATAAGTTGGAGAAAGTTCAAAGAGGGCATTCCCATAGTATGTACGTCGTCCCATAGCCTACAAGCTACAGCTATGATCACTCTAAACCTAAGAAAAATGTTTCCATCTCATGTTAATTTGTATTCCTTCAAAATGTCAGCTAGACAGACGTAAATCACCATCCTCATGTTAGATCTGGCAGGTCAGATACTCTCCGCAATCCAATGAATCGGGGAATGGATAACTTCGTCTTGATTCATTCTTCAGAGACAGCATAGTCCTTTTCGACAGGAAAGGTGAACATCTTAGGAGATTTTCAGTCGTCAGTTTCCGGATAAAGAACTGAGAGAATCCCAAGTGCTGATGATCCAAGATGCATTCCGCGGACTACTTCTCCGTACCCAGTTTTAATCTTGTAGCACAAAAGCAAGATACAGTCCCACATTGCTGTCCTTCCCTGTGCAAAATCAATGCATGTAAAACTTCAAAGGCCTACTAAATCATCTACAACAACAAAAAGGAACCCTAGTAAAACAGACAACAAATACAGAGTACTCAAAATTAAGAAAGCTACATATCTGTATCATTTGACTGTTCAAAAATCAAAAGTAACTGCCATCTTGATGTTCAAACTAGCAAAATTCTGAACAGATACTGCTTCTTAGTTTGAGCATTTAAAAACAATATATACTCAATCAGAGATCCTAAACCAACCATAGGTCTTCTTCTCTAAGTAAGGTCTTCAACTAACTATTCACCCCCATTCTTCAGAGCTCAAGGTACGCAATTAGGATTACTAATTAACAAGATTGGGTAGTTTGTTCTCCCAGCCAAGAATAGGCCTTCATATGTAAGTAAAATTCTAAAAATGTTCCATGAACTAACATTCTTCCGGGCTCAAGGAGGTTAAATACTGTAGATTCCCTAATGAGCCTTATGAAGAAGCCTATACCATGAACATGTGCAAGTAAACATGCTTCATATTTTCCGCACTATATCAAGTTGTTACTTATTTTATTAATATTTGATTTCTGGAACGTGTAAAGTTTCTAACTGTATCCCAACCCTATGCTAACTTCACTTGCCTGGAGAGAGAATTGAGGCTTTTTATCCCAGTACAAGGCAAAAATAGGAGGGCTTTTCTTTCCAACTGCCAATACAGAAGCTCCTGGATGCAGCACAGAAGGAACACCAGACACAACAGCTACATACTTTTCAGGAAATCTTTCCTTTGGAGGCAGAACGCCTAAAAACAAAGGGTTTTTGCTCGATTGTGTTCCAGCATGAGATGTGGGATCAACGTGTAGCATCCAACTTGGGTGTTCCAGAAAAGCACAGAATAGATACAAAAGCAAATGAGAATCTGAAGGAAGCTCCAGAGTCCACTTCTTGTGTACTTTATCATAGACTTCTCCGCTTCCAAGGTACTCATAGTTTTTAACACAGGTTCCTTCGGCAAGTTCTGTGAAAAGATGTGTGATTAACTATGAAAGTTCCACGTGTATTAGGAGTATCAATATTGCCGAACAGAGCAGCAGTCCGTCAACTGTGATAGATTTAGTAAACAATCACAAAAAAATAGTATTACCTCGAATTCTTTGTACAGTATAATCTGCCCGGACAAAGCTTTGTGGTAGCAAACCCTTGCCCCATTCTCCTTTCATTAGGCTATTGAGTCTCTGATGTTCTGTTATTGCATCTATACACTCTTGTAGGAGGGGGACTGACAAATTCGGCTGCGGTGATGGCTGGAAATTCCCATAAGGTGACTTAACTGAAAAGAAAAAAAAAAATCATGTAAGACTTAAAGAGCTTCTACAAGCGTAGACATGGAGAGATCCATGAAAAGTGTGATAATGAACAAATATTCAGGATAAAACTTACACGAGCAAGCATCTAATGCTTGAATAAGAGTGGTCCTCAACTGATTCAGAACACCATCCTCATCAACCACAACGGCCGGCTGCCATTCATTAGTCGCCTTAATTGGAGATACTGAGGCAGTAGCACCTCCACCTGGTGCATCACTTCCTACTTGGCTGATTGTAACTGTAAAACCCAGTTTGGCAGCTGTCTTCATGACCTACAGAACAGTGAACATACTTGACGCTTGCATGCAATATAAGAAAAGAACAGTAATGCAAAGGACTTTGTCTCAATCGTACCACAGTTATAGGCTAATCTGCCTGATCTTGTTTGATAGATTACACAAAACAAAGGCAAAAAAAGTAAGAATGATCCATGGAGACGTACAAAATAGTTAGGCATGCCCTTCTATGTCCTTGTAGACCAAACCTCAATTCATACATCCATTATAGGTGAATTTTCAGGAAAAGATAATGTAGAGTACTCTGACTGACATTTATAAACAGAACTGCATAGAATAACATACCTTTTCATGACTCGTATCAATTTTGATAAGAAGAGGATTCAACACGACTGAAGAAAACCATTGTCTAAGATTATCACGCCAATGTTCAATCTCAGGATAGATTCCTAGAAGTTGAAAAGCTTCTGTTGACTCTTCCATGGACATAGGAGGAGGTAGATCAACCTCCCCTTTCTTTGGCGGTGTAGAAAATATCTGTGATCCAGGTGACATTCTAACTGGTCTCAGTGGTGTACTCCTGGTAGTTCCAGAAGTGTTAGCTGAACCTACGATTTTGCTAGGACTGGCTCTGCCGAACCCATTGATGGTTGGAGGAGGAGTTGCTAATTTGCTAGCTGATTCAGAAAATTTCTCATCAGTATCAGCCAAGAAGTTTTCAAACTCTTCTTCACTTGTTATCTCCTTGTGAGAAGAAGTATGTTTGCGTGACCAAGGACTAGCCAGAAGTTTATCTGAACCGGGTGAATTCTGAATAGTTGCTAACTGGGCAGTGGGTGCCGAGACAAGAAACATAGATGGTGAAGAAGGTGACTTTGATGGAGTGCTGAAAGTGCTATTCCCACCACTGATCCCTGAGTCACTCCTTATTCTGGATGAATTATTAGAAACATTGATTGGCTGATGAAGTGGAACCAGCATTTCCGAAGGAGATTTAGTCTTTGACTTGGGGGGTTTCTTAGCAGAATCAACAGCAGGCTGTTCAGCTTTAGGCTTCATTCCAATCAGTCCAAGTTGTCGGGGTGTAAGACTAACTTGCTCCTCCTTTCCATTAGAACCAGAAACAATCTTCACTTCTGTAGCAGTTCTCGCCCTCCACACTGAAACAGCTTTGCCAAGAGCAAGCACCGAGCCGAGCAAAACTATACCCGTGATTACTTGTATAAGTTTCAATAACAACCCTGATAGCAATGTGAACCTTGGTTTATAAAACGTTTCCTTTCTGAAGAAGCAAGTGTACATATCAAGGAGCTTACACAAACTATACACATTACTTACAAGATTCTTCGGGTGTTGTAACAACGCTAAGCACAAGAGTCTCGGTGGTTCCAATTTTCCTTCAAAACATTCACCAAACAGTTGCATTTAGCCATGCGAAATCAACAGACATGAAAAGCTAAATTCACGGACAATACCAATCTAAGTTTCCGAAGTCTAATTCGCAGCGTCATTCATGGTATATCAAAAGAACATAAAGACAAACAAGTCCAGCTTTACCAACCCAAAATCAATAACCCTTGTCCAATTGGAAAAAAAAAAAAAAAAATACCATTCAACAGCTGAAAGGAAATCGCAAAACCCTAGCTAAACACGCACTTAATTAGAACCAAGCTTTAACCCGAAGTAATTGATTTGGAGAATTGTTATAAGCAAAAAGCATTTTGAATGTACCTCGAGGTGGCGGTAAAGAGCGCAATGGCGGAGGCCGATAAGAGAGAGAGGATAAATAGGAAAGTGGACTTGCGAGGACGGAGGCTGTTGGAAGTCAGTGCAGCTGAGAGAGCTGGGTTCTGGTACACCGAGAACTTCGACGGCGCCTGCTTTCCCCGTCCGGCGTCCATGTTAAAGACCTAAAAACCAACCGGAAGATTTTTGAAATAAATCCACTACACCGCCATTGTTGAGTGCAAATTAAAAAGTCCTCAGTTCTTTATTTTAGTGGTAATTAACTAGTAGAAAGCTCTCGGTTCAAGTGGTGAATGAAGGCGTGATTCCTCTTCCTTGCTTAAAAGAGCGTTTTTTATTTTAGGCATTTTACATGAGGCCCCCTAGTTTATAGTATAATACCACCATAAGACCTCAATCATTTGTGTTATTTAAGTTGGCCTTTCATATATTTATTGGAATATAAGATAATAGTGAATCCCCAATTGCCCATCCCCTCAGACACACAGTCATACAGTCACACACACTCACACACATTTCGCACCTTTCTCTCGTTTTCTTCACCGATTACGAAACATGGATCCAAAAATGGGTCCATTTTTCAGTCGTCGGAAGCTTCCGAAAGAACCCAAAAAGCCGGGAGCTTTCTCCTTAGCGAACCTCGAATCATTTCCCGGCCTTTCTATTGATCGCCGGCCCGCCCTTCTTCGCCGATAGTAATAGGGGTTTCGCTCCGGCGTTCAGCAGCGTCAAGCAAGGATTGAGATGAGCAGAAGGATCAGAGCTCCGTTTCTACTCTTTGCGGGCAAAGTAAGATTGGATCTCATTAACTTTGGTTTTTAGGGTTCTTTAGGGTTTTGTTTTAGGAATCTTTAATCTTGGGGTTTTTAGGGTTTTGTCTTAGGGTTTTTCCTAATATTGGTGGTTTATAAAGGCGGTCATGGTGAACATTTTCTATTTTCTAAACAGGATCTGGAAAGGTTCATATTATCATTGTTGTCATTGGACATGCCAACTCCGGCAAGTCCACCACCGCCGGTCACTTGATCTACAAGCTCGGTGGTATTGACGGCCGTGTGATTGAGAAATTTGAGGAGGAAGCTGCTGAGATGAACAAAAGGTCATTCAAGTATGCTTGGGTTCTTGACAAGCTCAAGGCTGAGCGTGAGCGTATTGTTGCAGAAGTTTGAGACCACCAAGTACTACTACACTGTCATTGATGCCCCTGGACATCGTGACTTCATCATGAACATGATTACTGGAACCTCCCAGGCTGACTGTGTGATGACCCGTGAAAGTACACAGGTGGACTTGTCCCACATCGCTACTGTGTGACTACGGCGATCGATTTATAAGCTCAAGCTGCTGGTTCTACTGGTAACTTGGGTTAAAATTTTGGGTCTAGCGAGGAAGATCACCCAAATAGTTATTGGACCAGACCTAGCAGCTGGGGTATTACAATTGGTATCAGAGTCGACCTAGTCCGGGTGCAGACCCACCTCTGAGCTCACACGTAGGAGACAAGTGCTGTGTGACACCTCTGAGCTCATAGGAGGTGTGAGACAAATGAAACGCATCTGTTCTAGGGGAGCCTGGACTAACTGTATGTGCTGTATGTCTGGGGCCCTGCGGGAATGCAAGGATACGAAGGGGGGGTCGAGTGTGATGACCCGTGAAAGTACACAGGTGGGCTTGTCCCACATCGCTGCTGTGTGACTACGGCGATCGATTTATAAGCTCAGGCTGTTGATTCTACTGGTAACTTGAGTTAACCATTTTGGATCTAGCGAGAACAACCACCCAAATGGTTATTAGGCCAGACCTAGCAGCTGGGTTATTACAGACTGTGCTGTTTGATCATTGACTCTACCACTGGTGGTTTTGAGGCTGATATCTCTAAGGATGGTCATACCCGTGAGCATGTTCTCCTTGCTTTCACCCTTGGTGTGAAACAAATGATCTACTGCTGTAAGAAGGTAAACATCTTTGATATCCTTGCATCTATATATGTTGTTGTCTTGTTGAAGGTTAATTGTATTACTGTAACAATATAGTGGTTTTTAGCCTGACTTATTCCATATTGTATTCTCTTAGATGGATGCCACCACCCCCAAGTACTCCGAGGCTTATTATGATGAGATTGTTAAGGAACTTTTCGTTCTACCTGAAGACGCTTGGGTACAATCCTGACTAAATCAGCTTTGTCCTAATCTCTGGCTTTGAGGGCGACAACATGATTGAGAGGTCTAGCAACTTTGATTGATACAAAGGGCCAACTCTCCTCAATGCTTTGATCAGATTCAGGAGCCCAAGAGGCCTTCTGACAAGCCACTCCGACTTCCACTTGAGCATGTTTACAAGATTGGTGGAATTGGAAGTGTCCCTGTTGGTCGTGTTGAGACTGGTATTCTTAAGCCTGGTATGGTTGTTACCTTCGGTCCCACTGGTCTGACGAATGAGGTTAAGCCTGTTGAGATGCACCATGTGAAGCTCTTCAGGAGGCTCTTCCCGGTGACTATGTTGGATTTAGTGTTAAGGACGTTGCTGTGAAGGATCTTAAGCATGGATATGTTGCACCCAAATCCAAGTATAACCCAGCTAAGAGAGCTTCCAGCTTCACTTCCCAGGTCATCATCATGAACCACCTTGGTCAGATTGGCAATGGATATTCCCCTGTTCTTGACTGCCACACCTCTCACATTGCTATTAAGTTCTCTGAGATCTTGACCAAGATTAACATGCGTTCTGGTAAGGAACTTGAGAAAGAGCCCAAATTCTTGAAGAACGGTGATGTTGGTATGGTTAAGATGGTTCCCACCAAGCCCATGGTGGTGGAAAATTTCTCAGAGTACCTACCTCTTGGTCGTTTTGCTGTGAGAGACATGAGACAGACCGTTGCTGTTGGTGTGATCACGGATGTTGAGAAGAAGGACGCCTAGGTTACTAGTAACTTTGCTGACAAGAAGGAAAATAGATACTAGATCCAATGTGCAGGTTAATGAACACTACTATGTTAGAGGTTATTATGATCGTGTCTTTAGGTCATATTGCTGTATTTGCATCTTTGGACATGAACTAATATGCTAGAGCCTAGAGTTTATCATGATCGTAGAACTAATATCTGGATTTTTACGTAGTATTTTCCAGTGTTTTTTTGTGATTGCCTTGCTTATCCAAGATTCATTAAGTTTTCATTTTTTCCTTTTGAAATAGAAAATCTCTTCTTTAGTTTAATTTAATGTTTTTACTTCCACATGAACACTTAAATAGGAGACTAGAATAAGATTCAACAAATAAGGAGATCATAAAAAATTTAGAAAGACAATCACTGAAGGTAACGACTAAGGACTATTTAATGAGGAGATCATAAGGAATTAAGGATGAATAACACATTTCATATCTTTCATAAGATTTCTAGTTGGACGCTCTCAAGTCTAAAGACAATTCTCACACCAAAAGCCAAATATTTATGATGTTGATCCCATCCTTAACGTAGTCAATGTTAGAGTATGCAAAAGGTAAAATAATGTAGAAAGTACACATAGACATTCAATCATCTCAACCACTCTAAGATATTGAGCAGGGTGATGTTCAATATTTTCTAACTCTCTGCTCGTCGTTGTTTGGAAGGAGTACATTGGCTGCAAAAACACACGTGCTCCTTTAGCAAGCATGAGCATGATAAACCAGTTCACTTCAATGGTATCACAAAGGAGAAAGATGTTTAAAGGGCGAAATGAAGAGAAAAAAACACGGAATATAAAAGAATAACTCGTCAAAAAGATTCAAAAGAAAGGGAATCTATACCTTCATTACAAAAATTTCTTCAAATTTCTTTGATGTGAAGATTTTGTGATTTTATGATGCGTCACACTTCTTCGTTTGCTAGAAGGAAAAGAAACTTGGGGAAATAAAAAGTAAAAAACGAGGGAAACACAATTAAAACTAGAATGATCATAATAGGTTAGCTTATCCTCTCACAAAGCCCAAACTTTACCCACCTCCATGAATTTGTCATAAACTGTTGCTTCAATCAAGGGGTCTTATTGCAATTTCTGAAAATCTAGGGAGTCAAAGTTAACATTAGCGCATTTATGGAGGTTCAGACATGGATTAGAATATTTATTACTGTCCTAATTTACTATTTCAGGTTGTAATTTCCATTTCCGACTTTTGTGTTAATTTGTCTCCAAGTCATTCTATCTAGAAGGATTGGGAAGGATTTGGATGATACGTATCTATAATTACGTGTAAGGATCGTATGGTATCGGTAGAAAAAAATTATCAAGATTTGTTCAATTTCTTTTTTGCATTTTTCTTTCGCTTATTTTGCTTTTCCGGCCACCGAAATCCGGATCTGACAAGTTGGTATCAGAGCTGGGTAATTTCTCGGCTCGATCCAGCCATGGCTGATAGAACTCGATCTGTGAAACATTTTGAAGATCAATTGAAAAAACAAGAAAAAAGGTTAGCAGAAGTAACCGCCAATTTCAATGAACACGTCAATAGCAAATTGACGGAGTTCCAGATGGGATTGCAAGATCTGGTTGATAAAAAGCTCAAATAGGCCATGGAGAACACGATGACGAAAAATTAGATCGATCGGTTGGAAACTGTCATCGCTTCTCTCGCTCAATCTCAGATCCATCCTCAATCCACCTTAAGGGATAAAACGCCGATGCATTTTTGAGATATGGCAACTGATATAATCCCTCCGATTATCATTCCGGGGAGCAGTTCTGGACCATCACCGGAGTCGGATTTTACAGCAACATCCCAGGAGCATGGTTACAGACCCCCTTGGTTCATCCAACCAAGAATCGATCTCCCCATCTATGAAGGCAGTGGGAAACCCAGAGAATGGCTCCGGAAATGCGATAAATTTTTCTTACTCCACCAAGTGGCTGAGCACCGAAAAGTGGATCACATCGAACTATATCTTGAGGAAAAGGCAGAGACATGGTTTCAAGCGATGAAGATGCTCAAACCAAGGATGACTTGGGTGGAATTTAGGGATGGTCTAATTAAAAGGTTTGAGGAGAAGGGAGGTCAGGATGATGTTGAGGAGTTCAACAAGTTGAGTCAACAAGGCATTGTTCGTGAATATCAAGAGAAGTTCGAGGAGTTAAGAGCTTGGATGCTATGCAGGGATTCTCGTCTGTCTGAGGATTATTTCATTTCCAGCTTCATCAGTGGCCTAAAAGAGGCCCATGGTGAGAATGATTCCACATCAAGCTCTTGGTGATGTATATGATACGGCCATATCGCAGGAAAGGAACATTGAAGTAAACAATTAGAAGCACAAACCTGCAGTTTTTTAGCCCAACAGGTTGTCAAATCCACAAGGCAAGGTAACTAATTCTTCTAAACCTGTTGCTAAGAAATCTTTTGGTTATGATAAGGTCAAACGTTTAAGCCCGGAGGAGTATCAATATAGGACGAATAATGGTCTTTGTTATAAGTGCACTGAAAAGTTTGTTCCAGGGCATAAATATAAGTTTAGACATTTTAATGTCATGATTGTATACAAGGATTTTGAATAAGAAGAAGGGTTAGAGGTGGAAGAATTACAGGTTGATGATGGGGTTGATTTAAATGATTTGACACTAGATGAAAGATCGTTGCATGTGCTTTCAGTTCATCCTGTGAAACAAACTATATTGGGTTTGGGGAAAATAGGGGTAAGACTAATGAAAATTCTTATTGATACGAGCAGTACTGACAGTTTCATTGATTTGAAGGTAGTAATGAACTTACAACTGCATTATGAGGAATCGGAACTATACACTATCGCAGTTGGAAATGGCAGTAAAATATTAGGAAGTTTAATATGTCCTAAGTTGAGGCGGGATATAAATGAGTTGAAATTTAGTTATAATCTCAAAATCATGAAGCTGAGTGGATATTTATATGATATTAGGTGTAGATTGGATGACTTATTACAGCCCAATTACGTTTGATTACTTGGAAATGAGCATTAAGCTTAGTAAGTATGGTATACAATATATTTTGCATGGGGATGGTAGTAGATCTAGTATGCAACTGGTGAGGGATCAAACTAGCTAGGAGCTAACTCAGGAGAAAAGAAGGAGGATGTTTACCATGCAGTTGGATGCCATGAATCAGAGGGAGAACAATCAAGCTGATGTGGAGTTGCCAGAGCCAATCCTGAAGATACTTGAGAAGCATCAGCACCTGTTTGCTGCCCCTGTAGCCCTACTACCACACAGAACCATTGATCATCAGACACTCCTCAAACCATGATCTCAACCCTTCAAGATCCCTCTGTATCATTGTCATCACGCTTTTAAGGCCGAGATCGAGAAACAAGTGACAGAAATGTTAGAGCATGGAATAGTCCAAAATAGTACCAGCCCCTATGCCTCACCAGTGGTACTTACCAGGCAAAAAGATGGCAGTTGGCAACTTTGTGTAGATTTCAGAAGGTTGAACGAGATGACCATCAAAGATCGGTTCCTCATTCCTATAATTGATGAGTTGCTTGATGAACTAGGAGAGGCAAAAGTATTCACTAAACTTGATATGAGGTCAGGATATCATCAAATACGTATGAAGGCCGAAGATGTACCCAAGACGGCGTTCCACACTCATCATGGTCACTTCGAGTTTTTAGTGATGTCGTTCGGTCTGACCAACGTACCTTCAACTTTCCAGGCACTTATGAACCAGGTGTTTCAGTTCTTTTTACATAAATTTGTGCTTGTTTTCTTTGATGATATACTTGTATATAGTGCTAATATGGATGATCATGTCAGTCATTTAGATCAAATATTTTCTATTTTGCATGATAATAAATTGTATGTGAAAAAGAGTAAATGTTCTTTTAGACAGTCATCAGTAGACTACTTAGGGCATGTTATCTCTGCTGGACAGTGAGTATGGATCCCCAAAAGATTCGCAGCATTGTAGAATGGCCAAACCCTAACAACATCAAGCAGCTGAGAGGTTTCTTAGGGTTAATAGGTTATTACCGCAAGTTTAGGTGTTATATGCAGGCCATTGACTGATTTGTTGAAGAAAGATGCTTTTCAGGGGGATGACCAGGCTCAACAAGCATTTCTGAATTAAAGCAAGTCATGACTCAAACGCCAGTACTCAAGATGCCCGATTTCTCATAATCCTTTATAGTGGAGACGGATGCCAGCGAAACAGGGACGGGAGCAATTCTTATGCAGAATAGACAACCTGTGGCTTTCCTCAGTAAGGCTTTTAGTCAAAAAAACAAGGGACTATCGGTGTATGAAAAGGAGCTCATGGCAGTGGTGCTAGCTGTCACTAAATGGCGGCATTATCTCATTGGGGCACATTTCATCATCTGGACTGACCACCAGTCCCTTAAATTCTTGCTTGAATAGAAGGTGATCAATACTACTCAGCACAAATGGTTAACTAAACTCCTTGGTTATGACTACGAGATACAGTATAAACGTGAGAAATAAAATATGGTTGCGGATGCTTTGTCCAGGATTGAAGACCCTTCTACCAATACGGCAGTGTTTGCCATCACGTCAGTGCAACTTGAGTGGATCCAGGAGGTTATTGATAGTTACAAAAATGATCAGACTGTCAAAGATATCATTGCTGCTGTTACCACAACTCTATCAGACGATAATGAGTACCAATATGTGCAGGGACTGTTAAGATGGAAGGGAAGAGTTTATGTGGGAAACAATGGTGCATTAAGAAAATCCTTACTAGCAGCTTTCCATGCGTCAGCTCTCGAGGGTCATTCCGGTCAGAATGTTACTTGGCAACGCTTGAAAACTATTTTTTACTGGCCTCACATGAAGAAGGAGGTTGATGATTTCATTCGGGAATGTGATGTCTGCCAACGAAACAAAAGCGAGCATGTTCCATATCCCGGCTTGCTGCAACCAATACAGGTTCCTACTCACTCTTGGAAAAGTATATCTATGGA